GTTCACCCCGGATCAGGCGAACTGGAGGTGGCAGTGGAGGGAGGCTCCACCCACCCGCCTGGACATCTCTGTGCATGCACAGAGCAAACTGGTAGCGAACAAAATTGAAACCCACTACTGATCTAACCCACCTTGTAATGTTAACAGTATGGCTTATTCTAACATAATAGTTCATTCTACAGTGAGATGGTTAACATTACATAGACACTGCTCACTGTGACTCAGTCTCCTAATGGTCAGGGAAGGCCAGCAGGATCATCTATAATGCTACTATTCTGGCTTTCTGATAGATAAAGTCACTTAGTTCAGCTCTGGTTTGGATTCTAACTGGGCAGTCCAGCTAAGGTGCTCAGGGCCTGGTCTTGTTATTTGATCTAAGTTTGATCTGATGACTACTAATAAAATGGCCAAGATTTTCTGTGCTCTCAGTTTGGTCACCTGTTCATTGGATCTGGCCACCTCCTGATTACGAAAGCAGCCAGGGAGTTGCTATGATTGGATCAATACTATGATGTTGGCCTCTTTGAGAGACAGGGTGGTACCTTCTCCCTTGAAGGAGACAGTATTGTAGCCTTTCTTGAACCCAACATTCCTAGTTAACTATAATCACATCTCCAACCTTCCCATTGTCAAGAAGTCAGTCTGTCTGTAGTTGGTGAGAAATCTGGAAGAAGTGGATTATCTAGACCTCTTAAGAATACTTAAGTTGCCTTCATTCTTGTCAGGAAAAGACACTTCAAATTTTTGCAGAAAAAAACCTATTGTCATTCCTGTTAGGTCCTTGTGAGGAAAAAAAGAACAGTTCTAGGTTGTTCTGACCTCACTTGTGCTGCTGCCTGAACTATTAGTGGAGTTTTGTTTTGGTTTCTTAAAAAAGAGAAAAAATTAAAACCCTCTTTTCTATCACAGCGATAATGAGTATGTTTATTCCAAAGGGAAGATCTCGCAACTAGTCCTCTATTCACCTAATCACTACTACTGGGTTTCCAATAATGTGTCTGGATTTCAAGCCATACAAGTGTTTAACTGTATAAGTTTAAAATTGTTCCAAAGCATCTGGATGAAATGGGCATAGCAGAGTAAATATTTAAATTCCTGATGATAAAAAATATCAGTGTAGAAATACTACTTTAGTTCAAAATTTTAAAGGGCAACTACTAGGTATGGTGGAGAAATGCAATTGCTTCTTTTGTTCTCTTGATACCAAACTACTCCACAAGCTGTCTTTATTATTCTCCAGAGAAGCCTTAAAGGGAAGTTCTGTGTATATAGAAAAAAATAAGACATATGTGCTTCTGTCCCTTTCTGTATATAAAAGCATATATTTTTGAGCTCAGCCAGGGAATACAGGCTCATTTTTAGTTTCTTGTTAAGTAAATATAACAACCAAATAAACTAAAATAATTGACGTTTAAACAGAAGATAAATACTGCTTCCCAACTTCCTCTTCGTAGAATTAGTGTTATCAGGCAGAAAGCACTGGTCCCCTTCCTACAAACTCTACAGGAAAAAGACTGCCCTCTCAGGAATGTAAACTTGGCATGCTTCTTGGTTGCCTTCTTTGGTTTCTCCTTTTCCCTCTTAACAAAAGGCCCACCCTATTCTTCCCATGTTAATGTCAAGGCTCTGTTTACATGATGATCTGTTTACATGATGCAGATGAATATTAAGGAAGGGAGAGCTCTTACAATGGCACAAATGCCATCTCCAGTAGCCTTTCCAGTTGGAGGTATAAGGGGAAGATCATTTGGAATGGGCCAAATTTTAGGAACTTAGAAGAATCTTCTTCAAATGTCACCCCAACCAGAAACTCACTGACCTAGTTTAGATGGAGTTGCAGAGCCTTGTTTTGTTGACCCAGACCTTCAGGCATGTATGCTTCAATTTATTTTCTTTCTTCTGTTGAAGAACTACGGTTGGCATCAATATATGACAGACTGTACATTCACGGAAAATCCTCAAGGTTTATGTTTTTTTGTTTACCTATCCTCAAGAACTGGGCTGTGGTGACTGCAACTTGAAAACTAGTTGCCATCTATATATCCTACAATATGTTACTTCATCCACATTAAACATTTTTTGTGTATGTCAGCTTATTTCAGGGATAACAGTAACACAATTTTTGGGGGGAGAAAGGGCCAGATTTGCTGTAGTTTTGTTCTTTCAAAAAATAATAATAATAATCATATCTTCTGATGTGCTTGGAATTCAAGGAAATGAAAAAATGGCTTCCTTCTTTGCTATTTGTTATGAACTCTTCTCACAGTCATCCACCTCTTGTTTGAACTATTGTAATGCATTCTACATTGGGGCTGCCCTTGAAGAGTATCCGAAAGCTTCAGTTGGCTCAAAATGCACATGGTTTTGTGCAACTCCAAAGAGAGTGTCATCTCTTTTGCAGGACTTACACTTGTTGCTGATTTGCTTCCAGATGTTGACTATCACCTTTAAAGTGCTACATGGCTTATCTTCCCAATTATATCTACTGGTAAATCCTCACTTTAATGGACATCATTCAGCTTAAACAAATATTCTTTTGTAAAATCCATTAAAATCAGAGGCTTACTTTATTGTTATAAAGGGTAATATAATACTAAAGTTCTCAACTAGTCTTTTTTTTTTTTTTTTTTTGCCAATCCCCTGGTTTTTCATCATATAAAGGAAAAGGCATGAAGACATAAACCACTCTTGGTTTCTCTCCATTGGAGAAGAAAATGTTCATGGAAATTTCCATATTGCACGACACTGATTCTTTCTCTCAGCAGGAGAATGCAATCTTTGGCACTCCAGATGTCAATGAACTACAACTACTAGTAACAGCAGAGACCGGCAATCTCTGCATTTACACAGGCAATGCAGAGAAGAGGAACTTTGTTTGGGAGTTGTCTATCTGCTTCTTAAAATCACTTTTAATTATAGAGATGGGAATTTTGAAAGATAGGAGCAGATCCTATTTCTCAGCAACTTTATTAAAAACAGCCATCTTCTTTCTGTACAATAGCACTTAAATCAAAAATAGGCCACCACATTGTGACACATTCAAGGCTATTTTTTTAAAAAAAAGATTTGTAATTTGTAAATAATTTGTGTTGAGTACACAACACAAAAGATATCGGCAGTAACAGCGCACTCCCACTTGCTCTTTACTGATTGGTTCCATGTCTCTGGGATTCCATGACTTCATCCCTGTTCTATTTATTTTCAGCTCAGTTATGTTGTATGTCACACTGCTAAGAAACTCATTTGTGCCTTGAAATACTGTGGTTCTGCAGGCATAGCATTTGTTTCCATTTGAGGAAATCTTAGCTTTATATGAACTTCCTAGTTCTTTGGTTACAACCATGGTAGCAAATCTTTCAAAGGGAATGGTGGCTTGGCAGCTTTTCAGCCCTGCCTCCTCGTATGATCTATTGAGACTTTTTCTGTGATCATACATATGAACACACAAGAAATGAGTGTGTTTGTGCTTCATGTGCAGGTAATTTATTGTAGTCCCATTTTATATGATGTGGAGTTAAGGGGGATTGTTGCTGTAAGAGTTTTGGCAATTTGAGAGAGAGAGAGTATTTTTGCTTTTTGTTCTCAGCATATCTGAGTATATGGTGTAAACATAAATACATATTGTCTTCAAGTTGCTTCAGAGGGATTGGGAAATGGAAGTACCAACAGCATAGAAATCAGAATAAGTATCCAAAGTAAATACAGAATCAGAACATTTCTAGAAATTTTTATGTACCAGGGTAAGATTTTTTTTCCTGAAAAGAACTGAAGGATGAAGAGTGGGAATGAAATGCTATTTTAACACCCCTATTAAAACCTCTCTCTTCCTATCTTTCTCTTTCTCTGGAATATAGTGTGCATTATGTGTGACTTGTTTTTCTCTTAAAATATTGTAGTAAGTTTTAAGTTGCTCATCTCTCTTTCAGAGGAATAAATGGACTGCTGTCCATGCCACTGAATTCCCAATACACTGAGGTTCAGGCTGGCAAGATCTGGATAGGAAAAACAACCAATTCTTAATCTTCTCTCCTCTCCAATACATATTCCTATGTGCTTCCAAACATGTATTATTTTTCGGCTTCATTTTTACTGGTAGTTGGCAATGATATATCTGCAGCAACCTCCCCTGTGAATAGTGCTTTGTGACTGCCCTCTTCAAGTACTTCATGAAAGAGAAGTGATCCCACAGCCAACTTCCCTTACTGCAGTTTCTTCTGTATATGCTTGCCAAATTTTATCTGAAGTCATGAAAAACTGCCAGTTTCTTTTCTTTGTTTTTGTTTTAAAGGGAAAAGAAGGAGAGGAAGAGTGAAACGACAAGATAAAGGCCTTAATAACATAGAGAGATAGTAGGTGAAAATGTATTAAGAAGTTCCTTGTTTCTAATAATAAATATTTATCTCTAAGTGTATTCTTCATGGCATAACGAAAAGTTAGCAATTCAGATTTGTTATTGTTCAGCCAGATGCCAATCAGGAGCTGCAGGGAACAAATTCAAGTTGTCTCCAAAGAGGTTCTTCCTGTTAGCAGCTGAGCCTTCACCCTCACCATCCAGACTTCATGTACAAAGCCTCATCAAATGATTATCCCATCTCAGACTGGAGACAATTAAGACAAACAAACCCAGGAAGTGGCAGGGAGTTCCGAAATGAAAGGAAATCCATGGCAGAAGAAGAAAACTGAAGAGATTGCCCTGATCCGCAACCAAAGTCAACGATGGGTCACAGCGTGCCAAGTTTTTAAAATAAGCGTTGCTTGTTTTATAATACAAAACTGGCACCCACAGCTGGCAAGGCCTGCAGAGACGATTCAAATGCTAACATTCAGAATGATAAACAGTCTTCTCCCCACCTCAAAAAGAGTAAGAAAAAAAGTTCTGTGTTAGCAAGCAGAAACTAACAGCCAATGCGGTTGCTAAGAGACCCTGGACTTTAGCCAACACCAATGAAACGAACAGCTTTAATAATTCTTTTTTTTTTCAACCTCTGAAAGAAAAGTACCTGTAGATGACGCCATGTTGATGTAGAAACATGAGTGCCGATGTGACTTCTGCTGCATAGAAGCGGGAGCGAGGCTCGTCAAATTTGCGTGAACGTTGAATCTGAAACATTAGGTCTCCTCCATTGACATATTCCATGACGAAAAATAGGCGGTCCTAAAATTCACAAAAAATAGAGCCATTTCGTTGTTTTTTGCCTGGGTTTCACAAAGATGCTACTGTACATTCATGGCACATCAGGAAATTAGATCTCTGTCCAAAAATGGAAGAAACAGCCAACTACAGCTATCTGAACAAGAGGAGCAAATGCTTCCAATTTAAACTATGGGTACTTCAGCTAATGCAGAATGGCTTAAAAAAATTACAGATTTGTTTCTCAAACGAATACTTTTATTTTTTAAAGGAAAATATAATAGATGCATGAGGATCTTTTGCTTAAGTGCAGCATTTACTTCCATCACGACAAACCAATTTATGTGATATTCTACTTCATCTCATTTTATTTTATTTTATTTTTCTACTTTTTAGCATTATGAAATAACTGAAAGCCTCGTTTTGGCTGTGCCAATAAAATTTTGAATAGGGAGAAAATACAAAAGAAAAGAAAAAAGACTGCTCTTAGACAATTCTGGGTCAATGGATGGCACTGAATATTATAAAGTCACAGTTCCTTTTGACAAAGATATTTCCCTGGTTCTCTAAAGCAGGGATGGGGAAGTGGTGATTTTGTAGCTTGTGGACCACAGGTTATCAGCTTAAACTAGAACCAGCCAAACTTAATTATGGTTGAGTTTGAGGTGTATATCCTGTGATAAATTAATCACTGCTAGTTCCGTATTATTCAGAGATCAATAAGAGATAATAAAAGAATTGGAAAAGGACAGAAAGGGGAAGCTGTTGACAAAAAGAATAAAGAAAGTTTAGGTCAAATTCCTATATTTTACAAAGACAAATGGGGTATATTTAATTCAGAAAACTGTTTGAGACGATGCATTCACACATTACAATTATATGTATATAAACACAACAAGAATTCTTTGGAATGGGGTGGGGGATAACAAATTTGAATAAGGTAAATCTTAGGAATGGGGAATCTGGGTCCCCACAGATGTTGCTAAATCACAGCTGCCAGCAACCCCAATCAAGCTGTCCAATGGCTGGAAATACTAGTTCAGGAACATCTAAAGGACCTTAATTCCTTATTCTATATTAGATCTAATGCTAAAAAAAGCAGTTCTCTGCTATACCATGACAGAAATGTTCACCTACTGATATTTCTACAGCTGCAGTTTTTGACTTAATTTTAGTTCAGTTAGCTAGTTTTCACAGACATTTTCAGTGCTTGTATTTTATTGAATAATAAGACTAGGATGTTCAAAGTATACAATTATTTTAAAAGTTTGTTTTGCTTTGATTTTTTTTTTGTAGCACCTCTCCAAGTCCTATCAAGAAGTATTCAGTGTTCTGTATGGTTTCTCTCTGGTTGGTGACATGCAAATTGCTTAATATGCCCTGTTTATGCAACACAATGATAACACAAGTCAGCACTGAGCTAAAACAGAACCAATAGAGACCGGATTGTGGTAAGGATAGTGAGCTTTATGCTGGCCAACTCCAGACCAATAGATTTGGCAAGAGGAAAGGCCTAGTTTAGAGTCAGTTATGAAGGCTCTCAAGATCTCTTCAAAGTCAAAACACTGAAGAGCCAGAGGGATAACTATATGGGGAAATAGTCTCAGGGTTTTAGAGTCTCAATCTTGCAGGGTTTTTTACTTCAATATGTAAGACAGAATTGTTCTGTTTTTCATATGTTCCCATCCCCCCCCCAGTTTTTACAAGATCAATGCTTCCAGATGATTGGCTAAAGTTTAAACAAATAAACTGGATATCCTTTGACAGTAAAATAATTCTTGATTAGGAATATATAAGGGCTTTTGCATCCACTGAATTGGATGTGTTGCAATATCAGGGGAGATTACTGAGAATGGATGGACTAGTCACTAGGGAAACAAAGAACTGTCTGTGTACAGTTCATTCTTATTTATTTATTTATTTAATTAATTAATTAATTAATTAATTAATTTATAGACCACCCTTCTCCCGAAGGACTCAGGGCGGTGTACAGCCAAAGTAAAAAACATAAATACAAACATTAAAAGCAATTTAAAAAGATATATATAAATTTGGCCCCAAAGTTAAAAAACAGTAACAAAACATTTAAAAAGCATTAAGCCAGCCCGGCTTGCTGAAAAAGGAAGGTCTTCAGGGCACGGCGGAAGGCACTCTTAATCATCTTAATCATAATTTTCACGTCATTTTTGTAATGAGATTTCTTCTCTAAAATTTGGCTGACTCAGCCCTTCTTCAGAACCCGTACTTCTGCCCAATTTTAAATTTTTCTTCTCAAAGGGTCCCTTCCCTCCATGCTCTTTTATATTCATTTTCTAGTTTCCAACTATTCTAAACAAAACTGTAATTTTTGAATTTATCAAAAGCAAGTTGGTTCCTCCACCTCTAAGCTCTATTTGCCTGTTTTACTTTCTTGATGCCATATGCCACACATCACATTTGAATAATGTATGACCCTCATGCTGAATGCAGTCAACTTCACATTCAATAAGATTTTCTTCCCTTCTATCTGCTGGGGACTGCCAAAATAAAAATAACTGACAGGTTGTTATCCTTATGACAGCCTCAGATAGGTTTTCCTAGAAAGTTATGTTTTTTTAAAAATTGCAGTTTATATTCTACTTTACCATTCCTAAAGTTGATTTCTTATAAAAAGCTAAATTCTTTTCTTATTTATGTTTGGAGGAAAAATTAACTCTTGCAATTAAAAAGAGACAGATTTATGCCTTTAAAAATTTTTTAGACATATTTGCTTTCTTTACATAGAACATATCCTCAAGAAACAAAAAAAGTGTAAACTTCCCAGAACTTTTTTGGGTGTATGGTTCTGGGCAAAACATGCTACTTAATACATATCTCATGAAGAGTTAATAAGGAAACACACACATCAATGTAAATAATACTATAATATATAAATGACTGTGAAACAGACATTGTTAATTGTGCAAGCAAACAGGAACAGAAAGGACTGAATAGAAGAAGGAAATTGAATCACAACTATGTCAGCCTTCAACCAGCATGAAATAAAGTACTTGAAACACCACACTACTCCCTTCTCCCAATACACCATTCTGAACACAAACTTTTGGGATTATAGTAAACTATAAAAATTTTAATAAATGAATAAGCATGGAACTGACATTCATTTTGCAAGCCTGGATTTTTGGAGCTTATAGTTATTGGAGTTTATGCACATGTATTTTAGTGTACAAATTCCAAATTGAAGAATGGTCGAAGGGGGTGATTCCTCTCTCCTACCCCACTTCAAAAATTCTTAATGTTGCGCAATTATTGGCACACTGGCTGCTGTGAAATCTCTTTGTGATCCTTGATTTGCCTTAAAAAGGATTTACTAACCTCTCAACTCACTATATAGTCCATTATTTCTTAAGTGCACCGAACTGTCCAGCAGAAGAAAGAAATGATGGCTTTAGTGCTTAGCTCCACCCCTTTATCAGCCCTTTGACAGACTTAATCAAAGGGAGATCTGTGAGTATTCCTACTGTGAGATAAAACAAACCTATTTATGGCAGGATAAATCACTGTATGCATATCTTGGGGAGCAGCTGAGCTACTAAATCTTACCCTGGGAGAATTAACATTTCTCCCACTGTTTCTTTGAATTGTGCCAGAACTAAACATGCATTGCTCCAATGGTTATTGTGGTAGGGCATTTAAGTATTCTATGAAGAGCAGTTTTTATGAGTGCATTACCCTCCTCTGTACATCTCAATCATTGGATCTCCTTTGAACCCCAACTTCATCTTCACATCCATGAGAAAGTGTTGAGTACATTATCTTTGTTACCAGAACTACCCAAATGTAAACCATGAAGAACAAGTTTGGGAACTCCTCATGAGAACTTGTGAGTGATGACCACAGCTTCCTGTGAGGAGAAATAAATCCTCAAACCACTTGTTGTGTGTATCTAAAAATGACCACTGAGCATTTAATGTTTACATACGGAAAGATAGTATCAGTGGGGAAATGAAACTTCATGTAAATTCCAGACAAAAGGTAATGTCTTTGATGTATTGTGTTCGGCCTGAGAAAATCTGCATAAAGAACTTTCCCTCTCACTGGGTTCTAGCAGAAATCAATTCATCTTTTCTTCGGCTTGTTTGTTTTTTCACTTTTCAATGTAATGATTACAACTGGACAAAGATACTAAATAGCAGGCCAAAACATGAATTGAGAAAAGCAAGAGGGGCAATCCTCCCTTGCTTTCAGTTCAACACTGAACATTAGGCAGCCTGTCAGGTAGCCAAAGATAGCTTAATTGGCTGAAATATCACAAAGCAGAAACAAACCACGCAATACATTTTCCATTTTCAAATCTCAGACATGTGTCCGTGCTATGTGTCAGGCAAGCAAGGGGTGTCAACGCAGGTTCTAAATTTCAGGAGCTACACTTGTACACGATTCAAACACCCAAATCAGGAAAAGCTTCACATACACACCCCTCAATCACTAGAATCCACAACTGATAAGACTTATCAGTATTTTCCAAGTGGTATTTTTCTTTTTATATATTTCTCATATAAATGGGTGTGAAGATTTTTTTCCCCTCCAATTCCAAGAAGGGTTTGCTTTGTCAATAGATCCCTTTTTTCTTCCTTCTTGGAAACCTAATAAGTTATGTTTCTCCTCCAAATGCTAAAATTGTTCAAGAAATGTTCTAAATTGTTCATGAAATAGAAGTATGTCTCAAGTCTGAATAATGGGAGCTCCTGGCAAACAGAATCCACACACTGGCTATGTAACAGGAGTCCAAACTAAGGCTGTGCTGAATTATCACCCTTGTCTGTGGAAATGGAGAAAATATTCAGTGACTTTTAAGAATGGATCCATTCTAAGAATTTCAGGTGTTACTTCAAATGATTTGTTAAATACTGAGGCAAACCATCATTTCTTCAAAACAGATCCTGGGAGAAATGCTACTGTATAATCTACTCCATTGACCTGCTCTATCCTCGCAATGCTACCAGGATCTTCAGGATAGCCAAACAGGAGAGGAGAGGGGAGAG